GAACATCCTACCGAACCTCCACAGGGGAAACTCCCTTCAGCCTTGCATTCGGCTCAGAGGCCGTTGTCCCAGTTGAGATCGGTGAGTCTTCTTACCGAACGGAAAGCTTCGAGCCAAAGGCTAACGAGGCGGCACTCGCGTTGAGCCTGGATTTAATCGAGGAACAACGAACGGTAGCCAACCTTCATAACGAGGCTTACAAACAGTGCGTCTCTCGGTACTACGACTCAAGGGTCAAACCGCGCTCCTTCAGAATCGGGGACTGGGTCATGCGCAAGGTTTCGCTTGCAACCAAAAACCCAACGGAAGGAACCCTCGGACCTTCCTGGGAAGGACCTTACGAAGTCATCGGCATCCTACGTTCCGGTACTTACAGGCTCCGAGGCACAGATGGGAAAACCCTCGGTCACCCATGGAATGTGGACCATCTCAAGAGTTATTTTAAATGAAGCCCCCTAGCCAACGGCAGGGAGGAATTTGTATTTTTGCATACGGCACATATATAAAATGAGATTATTCAGAGTTGCATATGTTTGAAACATTATAGCCTAAACGGCACCTTTTTCAAAAAAATGTTTCGGTAGGGCTCATTAGTTACGAGCCACAACAACATTGCCTACGGCAATCAAAAGCTACGCTCTTTATTTTAACTACCAATTCAGAGATGCCTTGGCTATTTTTTACAATTTTTTGGCAACAAGCATTGGGTACGAGCCAACGGCAGTACCACGCTCTGGAATTGCCTACGGTATTCTCATCGAGCTGACTACAAAGCTATACGGTATCCTAGACTTGCCCACGGCATCTCCATGGACGAAAGGCTATTGGGACCTTGTTCCTACCGATGCGCGTAATAATTGGTTTCTGGAAAATAGGTATGAGCCAACGGCAGTATCGCTACTTTGGGTTTATCTACCGAAGGTAGGGACACTTCGCTAATCCAAGGCAAGTAAGCTCCTAAGTGGCCAACGGCCCAGTCAGTTATTATCCTAAGCAGTTATTAGCCTACGGCAGTAACAAGCATGGAAAGAATTCAAATGAAATAAACAAAAGGCACAGGTTTGGAACAACAAAAGATAACTTGAATTAAAAAGATACCCTCGGCATCAATGTGTTCGGAAAGGACTTCAACGGCAAAACACAAATGCAAAAAAAAAAATTATTATTACAAACTTAAAAGTCAAACGGCAGCAGAGTCTGGGGCTTCGGTACCGGCTGAGGGGCCCTCCTCGGCAGCAGGGACAGAGCCCTCGTTGGCAGCAGCATCATCTCTGGGAGCCTCCCCCTCATAGTCTTCAATCATCTCTTCAGTAATCCCTTCAGGGAGAGGAGGAGGATCGGCGATGAAGTTGAGATTGAGCTTTCGGCCAGGATTGTACCGCTTGAAACGGTATAGGAGATCCGCCATTTCCGAGCCTACCTCGCTGTCCAGGAGTTTGGTGAACTCAGGAGATGATCGGTAGTCCTTCACAGCTTCCCGAACGGCGGCCTCGATTTCAGAAGCCTTGGCTCGCTCGGATTCCTCCAGCGATACCTGCATCGCCTCTTTTGCGGCATCGGTATCCTTCGCCGCAGTCTCGGGCGCCCCAAGTGCAGACACCAGCTCTGCAATTTTGGCTTCCTGGGCCTTGACCTGCCGTTCAGCAGCCTGCATGTCAAGCTTGAGGTTGTCCCGATCCTGAATGGCCTTGGACGCCTCGGCAACCCTAGCCTTGCCGTCCTCGTACAGCTTCCTCAGGCGTTCGGCAGCGTTAATTGCCCGCCTCATGCAGAGCCACATGTCCATGGATGCCTGCAAGGGAAATTGGTTACCTCAAAGTGGTGAAGGAAACGGAAATTAGAGAGATAGAGATAGGAGACTTACGGCAGCTTGCAAACGGAAGGCACGCCCCGCCTCATCCCGAAGCTGCCTCTTCGGGAGCTCTTCGATCTCGGACAACTCCATCTGCGAACCGAGGATCATGTGATTCGCAAACTGGACCGTCTTCGATGGGCAAGCGAGGGTGACAGGCTCCACCGGGCCACCATCTTCCTCGGCAGCGAAGGTCGCCTTCGGAAGGTCTGACTGCCGGCTGCGTTTTGGAGGCGCTTCGGCATCCAGGTCCACGGTCGAAGGCCATTTCCCGGAGGCCTTAGAGGTCATGACCTCAGCGGCACCCCTCCCGCCTCTGGCAACGGGCTGGGCGGTAGGCAGGGGGTTGGTTGTCAGAATCGGCCTCCGGTACTGGAGGTTCCGCAGCAGCATCCCCCTGCCGATTCTTCTTTTTGTTCTGCAGACCCATCATCAAGCGCCGCTTCGATGAGTCATTCATTTTCTTGGCCTCGGCAGTAATTCTCTCTTCGGTCACTACAGGGATGACAGCTCCGTTAAGAAAAGGGCGAACCATTATAAAAAAAAAATGATGACAAATATAAAGTGCACTTACGCTCGGCAGGGTCAACAAGTCAAGCCCTGATCAGATTCTCGGTAAAAAGAAACTGCGGATAGGCTCTGGAACGGGCAGGGACTTTCTCTCTCACCCTCTCGATCTGCCGAATCTCAGCCTGAGAGGGAATCGGCTGCTTCAGCTTACCTGCAGAAGACAACTCAAAACGGTTAGGCAAACAAAAAAAAAACTCACCTACCGGACGGTATGGTCAATACTTACCGGTGATCTGGAAAGTGTTGGAGATGTGGAATCGAACGGGAACCCCTGGGGGAGATTCCCAGTCTCCCAACAAAATAACCCGCCGATTCCTCCACGACTTCTGGGAGGTCGGTGTTAAGCTCATAATTTCATACATATACATGCCCAATTTACTTACTTCTTTTGCTTAGTTTCCTATAATTCTGAGTTATTTGCCTCTATTTGTGTGTTTTGTAGGCCAATAGAGTAAGAGAGCATAATTCATGCAATTCAAGCATGTTTAGGCCTGATTTGGATGAATGGAAGAAGAGCTTAAAGACAAACTCATTTTGGCTACAGCCCC